AAATGAAAATTTCGGAAAATAGACACGTTCTCTGCTCTGATTTTTTCTCAGCCTAAATTATTTAAATAAATCCAACCTCTTCGGCTCAAAAATGGCTGTCAGCAGCAGTTTCAATTTTTTTAATGTCGACTTTTTGATGCTGGGGACACCGACAAGATCGCAAAAAAGAAGCGGAAAATACGTTGGCCACCCAGAAGTACCCAAAATCAAATTTTAAAAGTACACTGATTGAAAGGTACTGATTATACTGGATGAACTTAAATGCTTTGTAGGCAATATATTGTTCTGAATATGGAAGTTATCTGTGAGTGAATCGGCGTTTGCATTTAAAGTTTCTATTTAGGAAATGTTTTTCAAGTCTCTGCAAGATTTTGTGATGGGAATTGAAGTTCAAGAACGTTTCCGCAGGGAACCCCTTTATATCCTGCTGGAAATCAAACAATTATACGCAAATTCACCTCATAAATATTTGAGAAAGCATCAAATTTCTTTAGGACTAAGGCGTTTTTATTTAAAGCACGGAAACATGAAAAAAAATTGAGTAGAAGCACCACATACCTGAATGAGCATTGAATGAACGACATATTTTTAGATTCTCCCGTGAAATTGAGTTTTTCTTTTCATCATGACACATTTGCTGGGGATAATTTTGAGATACTATGGGAATTTCATCTGAGAGGTCCAGAAACAATTTCTCAAATTCTTCTACCATTGAAAAGTAGGCCCAAATACAATTCCTGCTGTCTTCCTGAAACCCACTTTCACCCGGGCGCCGAGGGTTTCAATCACATTCAATACTCAAGTGTCTCGCGTTTCTCTTTAAAATTTCTACTTGGCATATCCGAGATTGAGAAAGAAAAATATAAAGAAATGAAAGGCAGAGGGAAAAAAGAAAAGGAATACATTCTGGGCGAAAAAGAGCCTGACAGGAAGTACCGCGATGAGCGTATTTAAGGCTTTGACCGCCCACGCATCTGACTCGTGAAAACGTCGTTGCCGTCTGGGAGACCCGAAAATGGGAAAATGAAAACGCCATTCCTACTCGTGAAAGAACAGCTTAAGGACATTCTTTAGCAACTTTGACGTTTTTTCCTTTCCTGAAGAAAATACAAAAAGTCAAAATAATAATGGTTTTATTCTCCGAGTGTGGAACTGGGACAAGGGAAGAGCATCGTGTGGACTTCAGGGCCATGGAGTGACCGTAGGGTTAGAGGATCTGAATTTTAAAGTTTCATGCTTGAATTTTATAGTACGGTGATGGACTCTTCCTGGTTTCGGTTTCTGTGGAAAAACGGGGGATTTTCTGCAAAATAATTTCAAGGCTGGAAACGTGGTTGCTAAAATAAAAAAAAAGCAGCAGAGAGAATTATTTTTGGTTTTAACCGCTTTGAGGGTTGCTTTCCCTTGCTCGGCAGTGCCTGGAGTTTTTTTTTTCAGGCTAATGCATTTTGGTTTGACCTAAGGTCACCAAAACTGCAACTGAGCTACGAACGTGGCGCAAATCTAAAAATCTTCGGATAACCTTAGCAATGAAAAAATGCAGCCTTGGGATTTTTTTCTTGGAAAATGTTTTTCAAATAAAAATACCTAGGAATATTCCATGAGTTCGTCTAAATTCATCAATTTAAATTTGCTAAGCTTATGTGATGCTAGTTTTGCTTTCGAAAAATTCTTGATCTGCTGCTGAATGGTCAACATGACACGCACATCAGCACATTGAAAGTTCAAGACAAAAATAATAAAAGCTTGATGGGAAACCATCGGCAAACACATTCGCTCAAACAAAAAAACTAACTCTTTGATCTACTTCCAGGTTCATTGTTACAAAACTTATCTTCAGGAGAATTGTAACCATAAATTTTAAATTATCTAACCTGACCACTGAAAATCAACAATGCTAATTTTTTTACTGCCACAAAATCTCAAATTCAGGATGGCTGCAATGACAGAAGTCGTAACGAGAAAAATTTTTCAAACAATTTCAAAATGCACTCGGTGTGATTTATTTTTCATTTTCAAATCGCTTCCGCTGCCGAATTTTTAAATAATTAACAGCTTTTTTCAAGTAATGCAAGAATTTTCTCATGCTTTCAAGGAACCTCGGGATGCAAAGGTAAAAAAAAAAAAATCTGCGGACACAGACGCAGAACATTGCGTTATAATTTTTTATTTTTATTTTAGCACTAACGTCTGTATCTCCATGTAAAGGAAAGATCCCTCAGGAAACGCGTCGGTTGAAGCTTCTCATCAGAGAAATTCGTGGTGCGGAAAGCGTTGATAGGGAAACCCAGGGGCCAGAAAGCCATCATTTGTTATCTGATAAGCCGCGCGTCGAAAGGGATATATATTCTATCTTCCGGGCATTAAAAAGAAACGTTCCACAAGCGTTGTATCAAATCGAAGGCAACGTTTCCTGTGCTGGGGATTCACTGGCATATTTTGTTTTATTTATGCGTCGACAACGAAAGGAATATGGAATGATCGCATGCAATGGTTATGTCCAGAATGAAGCAAATTTACCTTCAACCAGATTCCAACGACAAATGGTTCTTGCAACCTGCAAGATTTTTAGTGTTTTTTTTTCATCAAGTAGCTGTACTTTCTGAAGTCGTATCGTAATAATATCTTCTGTATAAGCCGCATATATTAATAAGCGCACGCTATAATCTGGAGCTTTTCAGAGCATATTCTCTGCATTTAAAAATTACCCGGATGAATCGGAGCATAGAGAATGCATTTCTGGAGCATGAATACCACAGTACACAAAAACTATAATTTAAAAAATATTGATGACGGCTTTCATAATTTAAAAGTCTTACAACTGCGCTGCTAACGTGAACCAATTTTCAAAAATCATCTGACGTAATGCCTCGATTTTTGTGCGAGCTGAAAAACAATTTAGGAATGGTGGTACAGTTTTTCGTGGATTCGATCGTGGAAATCCGACCGCACCCTTGTAAAATTCACGACGGCTTCAAGATAAATTGTATTCAATACTGGATTTTACGAGTTCCCAGTATATTGCTGAATGAAACACGATGCCTCCGACGAAGATTTTTAAAAAGGGCGGCGAAACGTATTTGTATCCTAAAGAAGGAAACACTTTTTCGCAGTTTGAGAGTGACTCTGGCAGTAAAGAGAAGAGTCGCTCAGCAGTAAAATCGGTTCCTTTGTGGCCATTCAAACCGCAGTCATAATTCGCCGGGAAGCCGGCGGATGAATGAAAGTGAGAAGCAAGAAGACCCTCAATTGAGGTTAGGAAAGGAAGTTCCCAGTCGAGTATTCGAAACTCCCCCCCTGGCTGAAATATATTTATACATATATATATATACGTGCACCTGAGAGTTTCTGGGGTGAGAAGGGAGGCTTACTGAGGTCAGTCGCTTTGTCCGAGTTTAGATTTCAATTAAAATGCTTGAAAAATGAGGACGCTTCTGATGCGGGGCGACGATGCGACCCCGCGGCCACCGGAGTTTTTTATTCTCCCGCGTCGCCGCAATGTTTCGTCCCTCATCCTAAGAAAGATCGTTTCTTTCGCATTTCAAAACACCTCTGCGGTGCTTTCACGCCGTTTTATGCACGTATTTTTGCTTGCAGTGGGACACGAGGGCAATATAGGCCTTGGTCTCCGAACCGTCCACTATCCCCTGATCCTCTCACCTTTTGGGACCGATTCTTCAAAATAATCCCGATCCGCTTACTTTTTTGTTTTTACAAGTATCTTCTCTTGTTTCTATAATGAAATATTGCAGTCTTTTTGCAATCAAGTGGGAAACTCGAAGGAAGAACTTAAACGTGCAGAATCATTGTTCAGCAAAATAATTTCTATTTGAATCCTACACTTTTTCTGAGATGTATATGTATACACAGGTGGACCCTCTACAACGATCTTGGCTAAAACGATTTTCGCAAGAATTTTTTGTTGTTGATCCAATGGGGTTCTTTCCCGTGTTTAGGGGTTCTCTACAGCGAAATTCTCAGTACAACGGATTTTTTTCTGGTCTCCTGAAGTCCATTGTAGAGAGAGCCCACCTGTAGATCATCAAACCTTGATCTGACCAAATCTGACCCTATTTTAACGTGAACTGACTTTCACTAGGCATCCCAAAAAATGCAAAATTTTCGGATGATTTTTTGCCAAGGGAGGGTTTGAAAACTAAGGAAATCTCAATACAGGTGGACTCTCTCCATAACAATCTTGTCTACAGCAATTTTCTCTGAACACTGTATAACGCTTTTTTTTTGCATGGGTTTGCTCCTCATATTTTAGGGGTTCTCTGCAACGAAATTATTTCTACAACGGAGATTCCACCTGTAATTTATTCACCCAAGAAACACGTGCTTTTTAGCGAGACATGCACCTGGATTATTTCTTGCAGGAAAATCTGATAAAAATGTATCCCTGTGTTTGAGACGCACACTTTTCTTCATTTCAATACGTTGAAAACAAAAGTACTTCAAAATCTTATTTTAGTCTGAACAGTATGTTGAATTTTTTTGCACAAAAGATCGGAAACAACTGAACATAAGGCAAAAGTCAGAGACCCCTTTCTGGTAATTGTTGAGCAGTAGCATTCCGAGGATTAGTCCAAAATACTCTCTGTCAATTAAGTATGACATGCTACCAATTAAGGGATAAATTTCAGACGGTGTCCTGAAAAGATGAGTGTACCACATCAGGTACCCCTGAGCCCAGCACGAGAAGAGAAGACGCTTTGTGGACCAAGCGTCAGGCCTACCACTAAATGCCCGGGCCCAGAAAAGAAGGCCCCCGGCCCTGCGAGTGGTGTCCTGTCTCGCCCGGGCCGCGATTGATACGCCACGTAAATTTCCCTCGGGTTCTAGTAACCCCCCCACTTTTTTATATTTTTATTTTCGTACCGAAACTCGGGCCTTTGTTGCAAAATGTGTGGGAACGTCTTCGGTCGTCATGTTGTGCTCATCCCTCCGCCGAGGCTTTTGACGGTTTCATAAACGGTCCTTCTTCCGAACAACATTTATTACCCCGTGGGCTCGCGCGATTCGACACCCGGCGACTTTTCGTCTTCCGGTCGGAACCCGCTTTTCATTGGTGACAAACGGGGGCTGCTTTGAAATCAGGCGGAAGGATAAGCCTCGGACCTGAGAAAACCGGAGCAGATGGCGGTCAACTATAAAAAATCGCGTGGATTTCGGCGTGGGAAAGTTTTCGTTTCGCCCCCCCCTCGAGGAAGTACTTCGTCTCAATCGCCCCGATATCTTGTCATGCTATTTCTTCGCGTGCGTCAAAAGATCGGCGTGAAAAAGCTGCTGAGTGACAAATTCGAGAAACTTTCCCGCCGAAAATAGCTGAGAAATACAAGTCTCCAAGAAATTTTTTTTTTTCTTCCTCACCCAAGTTGTGCATCTAAAATTCATTTCTGGAGTAAACCTCTATTAGGAACAATAAATATACGTACAACAAATCGTGTACAACCATTTCACAAGAACAGTCTTACCGAGGAAAGTGATGTAAGATTATGTTTACGACATTCATTTTCGATGCTTTATCAACGTTTTGCGATGTTTTTTTTTTTGAAAATGAAATTATATCTTACAGAAACGTGTACCTAACAAATCCCTTATGCGGATAAATCAATTTAAAAAAAGCGAACGAAGAAGCTGTGTGCATGGCGATGATGTCAAGTAATTATCATCTGAAATCTTGGACAGATTCGTCACATTTTCAAATTCTGTAATTGAATTCTGCGCCCTATGGGCTGCTGATTTTAAATTATATTTTGACAGCTAGCGTCGAACATCAAGGAAAAAGTCGTGCTTCTATCAAAAATCTGATCCATATGTTTTTAGATCCAGAAATTATTTTTTCTCTGGAACTCGCCGTATGTTCATGAAAGTCATTAAATTTTACGCATTTAATATGCAGTTTTTCGAGTGAATGTACAAATGATCTCGCGAGAAACTTTTCAGAGGATTCAACTTCAGTAAAGCAGACTTTTTGACAACTTTTCAATGATGGCGTGTCTTGAAATACACTTGCGGTGATGCTATGGAATATAGCAAAATAAACTCAATAAAATCTCGTTTGAAAAATGATTCGCACAGTATTATTTTACCTAGTTTTCAAAAGCCATTAAATCCGGACGAACTCTATGTCACATTTGTCAAAGCGCTGACATACAGTAAAACAAAACAGATTCCCTTGACGACATGCAGGGAAATAGTAATTTTTGTTTTGTTTTAATTACGTGCGAAATATATTTCTTGGCGTATCTCAAGTTTGCTTTTACAGTTTTCAATGACCGCGTAATATAAAGGATTGACATGCATCACAAATGATTTGAAATTTATCGATATTCCTTATGCCCTAAGAAAGCTAAAATAACCTTTTTATTTTGCTCAGAGCTGCATTTAGGTTATATTGCTTTATAAGGAAATGGAAGACTGCATCGTAAACGGTCTGAGATTTATTGAGTTTTTTCATTATTCCTGGAAAAGCACCCCGTGATTTTTTTTTTTTTTACCACTCAGATAAATATTCCTTTGCGAATGCTTTACCCATAAAAATTGCATAAATTTGATTGATGAGGGCGTCTTTATTTTTCAGTGTGTCCAGTTCATCTAATTTTCGAACCTTTATTGAAACAAATTACTCACTCTTGTTCTTCATAATGCATGTGCCGCACCAGCTCGTCTCGCTTGTTCACCAGCTCAACCAACTCGTTCAAGAGAAGCTGTTCTCGTTCACGTTGTGCGTCAGTCTTTCTGGAATCTAGGAAAGGAAATAACACTCGATGAAGATAGTTTTTCATCAACGAACCACGGTATAGGGCTCATCAGCGAGGAGGAAGTTCCTGATTTCTCTTGGGGATCTAATACGTCCCGGCGCTCTCATTTTCCTCTCGTCGATTCTCGTGCATAGCTTTTTTTTCTATCATCCCCACGATTACATCGAGATGCCATGAGAAAATAACATTCATGCGTATGACGCGAACTGACTAGGAAAAAAAAAGGAAAATGAAAGTGGCCCGCTTTTGTCTAGCAAAAAAAAAAAAATGACGTATTTATTCGAGGATCACGAGTCCTCTAGTAAGACTCCCACTATGATTTTTGGCACAAAATTTGTCCCAAAAATATATCCCCGCGTAAAACCCGCACCCTAGTTTTTTCTTGCTGAAAATCGAAATTTCTTCATCAAATGATACTCTTTTTAACGAAATTTGAGGGACCGGAAAAAATGTGTTTTTGAGAGTATTTAGTTGTAGAGAAGACCTATAACATGGGGAGAGAACCCTACATAAAACTGGGGGAAAATCGTTATACAGAGAATATCGTTGTAGACCTGATCGTTGTAAAGAAGCTCCACCTGTACTATATTATTTACACAATAACCTTTTAATTAAATCAAAGAACGCGAAGAATTAAATCGGGCTTGGTGTCAAATATAATATTCTATCCATTTTTTTCACCAGACTAACTTCAGACTTATATCAATATTGATTCATGAAAATTGGTTTCTCTCGAAAATAATGCACCGCTTTTCTGCCTCAATTTTTCAGAAAATAAATGTCCGGTTAATACGGATAACAAAACGGAAGGAATTCTTTCGCCCAGTCGCACTGTGATTCACATTCCGCGACATTACCGCACATTTTTTGCGCGTTATTCGCGAATCAATGACACAATAATATGAATTTGAAAAAAAAATGTAGGCGAGGCGAGCTCCGTGTGCGGACGGAAGACAACTGCGTGCCAAACCTTGATTCTAGTGACTGGTGGAATGAGGGGTTTCGAGACGAGGTCTCCCGACTTTATACATAGAGAAAAGAGGAAATAAAGCCCCAAAGTAAGAAGATAAATTTTAATAAAACTGTACTGATCCCAGATTTAAACGAAACGGAGCATTACATTTGGTTAAGCAGTTTAGGGCCCCTCTGAGCCGGTTTTCGGGACGATCCCGGGGAGTCGTGATTCCCGTGCAGGCTTGCGACTTGCTGCCAGTTTCGCCCAAAGTGTTTCTTCATTCGATGCCAGATAAACTCTGCTTCTGGTTCATTTTATTCCTGGGCAGCAGCACCCGAGTCGAGTGTATAGTAGCACCCGCAACAGTGGCACGTACGACGGAGAAATTCGCCGAGATTTTATCTACATTTTTTTTTTATTCTCCCGCCGGCTCTTGGAATTTGGCGCGGGCATTCGTGTGGATCCCTTGCGGGATCTGGAAAGCTCGTTATGTTTGGTTCAGCGAGCCGGTAGATTTCCAGGGTGGAGGGCTCTCGTGAGAACCTGGAAAGCTGCCCTGGGAAGAGTTTCTTGGACAGCGCAGAAGCGGAGTTTCCCGACTTGCCATTGGCTGCATTGTCTGTCCCGAGTCTCGACGCTGGCTTCTTCCAATAGTGGATCAGTTTTGCGGTTCAATATCGCCTCCCCCGCTGGCCCGGTGTCGGCTCACGACGACGGCGATTTTTCTTCCGGTACTTGTGCCCACACTAATGACCTTGTCAGGATTCATCAAGGAATGATACGGGCTCTTTGCAACAAAACAAAGCAAAAAACTTGTTGGTAAGCTTTCAAAAACACAATTTAAAAAATAGGGATTGCTAGGTTGTCAACAAATTCTTCATTTATTTAGTCGCATACAATTTTATAGTCGGAAACGACAGCGATTATTACAGGTACAGCACTCGTTATGTTAACTGGACTATCTTTCAATGACCTTTCTGCAACGAAGCTTTTTTCCCCAGTCATAACCTTGGAAAAGATAGGCTTTTGTAATCTGAGCCTGTAAAGTAAATATTTTTTAAATTTTTGTGAATGATTTTTTCGGAATTCATCAAGGAATGATACGGACTCTTTGCAACAAAAAAACGTAGTAACTTTTCAAAAACACAAATTTGAAAAATAGGGGTTTCTAGGTCGTCAACAAATTCTTCATTTATTTAGCTACTTACAATTTTATAATCGGAAACAGCAGAATTTACAGGTGCATTCGTTATGTTAACTTGACTAGTTTTTCAATGACCTTTGTACAACGAAATTCTCTCTGCAACGAATTTTGTTTCCCCCTCATTTTTGTTTTGTTGTTGTAGAGAGAATCTACCTGTAATAACTTTAGACGTGATCGGATTTTCTAATCTAAGACTATAAAGTCGGTATATTTAAAATTTTATTTCAATGACCTTGTCAGGATTCATCAAGGAATGATAAGAGCTTTTTGCATAAAAAACGTGGTACCCTTTCATTAGCACGGTTTCGCAAATAGCGGTTTCTAAGTCGTCGACAAATTCTTCCTTTTCGACCCTTACAACTTTTCCAAATAGTTATTCGGAAATGACAGGGATTAATAACTTTGATCAATAAGCAAGAAAAAAATCTATTTGCTTTCTCAAGCCTAGAAAGTCACTATATTCCTTCGTTTCGTTTAATTACCTTGTCAGTTTTCATCAAAGAAGTGATTTGGTTTTTTCGCAGAGAAAATCTTCAAAAAATTTCAGAAACATGATTTTAAAAAAAAGTTTCCATGCCGTTGATTTCTTCCTTTTGCCGCCTAGAACCCTTCCAAATAGAAACGACAGAGATTAATAACTTCTGGACGAGATAGGATTTTTCGTGCTCAAGTCCAAAAGAATTCCGTATTACTCCTCAGTATTTTCGAAATTGTACATATGCTGAAGCTGAAGATCTTGTCAGGATTCACCGAAGACAACAAAAAGGCTTCGTCATCGTCGGCTTACCCAATTAGAATTCTTTGAAATCTGGGGGTTTCTCTTATAAATCAGCGAACAAAAAAGTCTCGAAACAATTACTTCTGATAATTTTTCCCAGCTAACCTCAAAGAACCCGGACTTTCGAATTTCTGAAGGAAATTTGTCAAGAACATCATCCTTGCTGTCTCAAAAATCTATCACATGAGTGATCCAAAGAAAGATGTATGATTCCTTGCGAAGTCATCTCACTTGAAAATTTAAAAAATAATAATGGCTTCGTTACAAAGGCAAATCCATAATTACAAATCGTTGCATGTATATTTTGCATAATTTGTTAAATTATTTTGAAAATGTTTCACCACATTTGAACACGAAATTAAAAGATCAGAAAGCATCATCTGATAATTAAGGCTTGGATGGAGCGGGAAACGTTTGATAGAATACTAGTTTTCGATTGTCACGAGCGAGCCAAAAATTATTTTTGCACGTGACTCGACAACTCTGAAGCACCTGAGTTTCATGTCAAATAAATTCCTTCGCCATTGCAGTTCGGAATGCGGTATAGCCGTTATTCATCATTCACAGGAAACAATTTATTCATATGCAAGCCCTGTGATGAGAACAGGAACGAGTGGGATTGCATGGGTCATGGCACAATCGATAAGTTGGGCGAAGTTCGGGAATGATACGCTCTCGTCGCCAAGTAGAGCAGAGTAGGAAGTTTGCAGCTTTGCAGAAGCTCCGCAAAATGCGCTTCTTCCTAAAAGCGCAGTCAGTGTTTTGACAAGCAATTGTTCGACGCAACGGGGCAATTTTCCAGCGTCAAGAACAGTTCACGTCATTTTCTTCGCGCCCAGATTCCGAGAGGTATGCGAGGAACGGAGGGATTAACGCGCGTGGGTGACTCGGGAACGAAGTTCAGCGCGAACCCGTCCACATGGTTGCGTCGTTCTGCCCCGGGGGGAGAAATAGGAAAACCGAGTGGGAGAGAGAGAGAGAAAAAGGAGCGAATAAACGCGAACAATGTTGGGATTAGCCCGACGCACATTCGCTCCCCTCTCTCTTCTTCTTCCTCTTCTTCTTCTTCTTCTTCTACGCAGTCTCCCTTTTTTTTCTCCTTTTCTTTTTCAGCGTATGAATGCATTATGCCCTTTTTTTTTTTTAATGCCCCAACGTCCATTATTTTTCCATCTCGAGGATACCCACATTTCGGATTTCGTTCTCCCTCCAGTTTCTCAACTGAGAGATTTTTTTCGGCGTTTTAAAGCATGCGAGTCGAGTCACCCACGAAGCTTTTTTTGTTTGTCCTCCCCAACATTGCATGAATTCTTGTCTACTCTGCTGTACTGTACTGTGATTTTTAATATTCAAATCTCTGCATGAACGTATGGAATGAGAACTGGATTTTATATCTGCATTGGACCAAGTTTGATACTTTAAAAATGAATCGACAACACCTTTTGTGGAAATACGCACAGGCATAATTTTTCCAACTAAGTAACCCAATTGACGTGAAAATTGGAGATAGTTCAATATCAATCAATCTTGGAACCTTAAAATTAATTTCGAGGAAGACGTTATCCATATTTATTTCAAAAGTCTCATGAGGAAATTGTTGTGTTTTCGAATGAGAGTTATTGAGTTTCAAAGAGAGTAAAGGTTTTTATTCCGAGGAAGTCTAGTTGATTCGTTTTCAAATGTCCGTATAATTATTGACGCATCGTATTTTGAAATCTCATCTATTGCGAGTTTGCACGTGTCGATAAATTTCTCAAGATATTCTTGTTCTGCGATCGTCTAAAAATGAATAAATAAGGAATGAATTGTTGTTAAAGCGATAAAGGAGTCGGAAAAGGTTTAAAGCTTTATTCGAGGTCCGATGGGAAGATTACTAACCGTCGCACAGGCGACGAAACCCGGATCTCGTAACATTGTGCACCCGAGGATAAACAGGATCGCAATTTCTTCAGTATTCATGCCGAATAAAGCCCGGGTTCCTCAAACGCGCCAGGTTGCTTTTGTGATGACATTGCGTCCTGTCGGGGGACGCGGGAGGGGGAGACCCGAGGGTACTGATTTCTTCTTCCTCGCGGGTTTCGGCGTCCTTTTCCGATACCATCTCCGCCGGACATTGTTTCCCCGGGGGGGGGGGGGGACCCCTGGGGGGCCTGCGGGGGGGGGGGGGGGGGGGGGGGGGCACCTGGGGGGACACGGATCCCTGTCGCGCAACGCAACATTTTCTCTGCTTCCTGATCCTCACCTTGGGTTGCGAACAACTGCCGCGATGAAATTCCCACGACCCACCTGACCTCTGTCTCGACCCGAGAAATTCGCTTCCCGAACCCACCACCACACTCTCGGGTAACGTCCATTTCTGTCAGCAACGCAGCCCTGATATTTACGAGTCTTGTTCAGGTTCCCGTCTTTTCTCGACAAAACTTCCACCGTCTTCCCTTTCCGTCAAATATATTTGAAAACAAATCGATCCCACAACGGCTATTATCAAAAGGGGAATAAGGGGGTCAGCGGAAAATGCCGACGGGGAGGAAAAGGTACCGAAAACAAATTCAACACATGCAACAAAAACCACGTTATATTTTGATGAAACGACCCTATGCATTCAAGAGATACTACTGCTTTAAAAAAAAATTCCCACGGGAAACAAATTGTACTTTCTAGGAAAGTCAATATAGCTCTCATTCGAAAACACGACAATAATGTACTCATGAGACTTCTGAATTCAAATATGGAAAAAGTCCTTCCCAAAATTAATGTTGAGGTTCCAAGATTCTTTGATATTGAATTATTTCCAAATTCCAAGTCAATTGGGTTACTTTAATAAAAATTATGCGTGCGCAGTTAAAAAAAATCCCAGATGCCACAATTTTATCTACGAGTAAGCTAATCCTGTCTGGAGAAAGTATCCAGGGGTTCAAATTTTAATACAGGTATTTACATTTCGGAAGAAAGATTCCTTTGCAGAGGAAATCTATGTAGATTTCGTCCTGCAAATATATAATGCCCGCGATTTTTTAAAAATGAAAATTTAGAAAATAACTGGAAGGCAGGTGATGAATGTTGATTCGCGCGGTTTTTAACGCCAAAAAGTTGAGGAATCCATTAGCGGAGAAAAGCGTCGGGTCATTAGCACGGGCAGCGAATCGATTGGGGCCCGAGGAATGCTGGTCGAGGATAGAGCAAAAGACTTGGATCGGATTTCGCAACCAGCTCCATTGTCCAGACAAAGAAAACAAGCAGAGTTGTTTGCAGAGATCCCGGGGCATAGGTTACAGAGAGATAAGCACACACTGTGGACACAAGGGGCCCCTCGGGGGGAAACCCGAAGCAGAAAAAAGAGACGATCCGACGCCAATGATTCGAGGTGAGCCAGGGTTGTGCAAAAAAGGGGGTAAAAGGGATCTCGACGCGAAATTGCAACACGTTCACAAATGTTTGGCGAGGCCGACGGCTATTTCGCGGCTTTTGTTCTGGGTTCTCTCATCATATCTGCTTTGTTTTCGGGCCGCGTCACCCGATCTCGGGTTCGGATCGCTATGCTGTTCGTCCGAGGTGGAAACAACACGCGTTTCTCGCTGATTGCCCGAAAAACATTCATCTGCTCATTTTCTTTTTTTCCTCCTGACAATGTTGACAGCTCTACTCGCCAGTTTATTCGTTGCAACGCCCACGCAATAGATAAAATGCCGAGTGCATCATCATTATCGGGGAAATGCGAATAAGCTGTGAACTATTCGATGGACACACTGGGTAAGTGTAGGCTGATAATCCAGCACTGACATCAGATAGACATCGAAACTATAGATTGGCGAATAGGCGATAAGAATGAGCCCGTGGAATCAGACGAAGGAAGTCCGTCAAGTTTTCTTGCATAAAAGAAAAAAACGACTGAAAACCAAGAGTCGTTTCATACCCCAAACAAGTTTCTTGTCAAAACAATCACCTCTAATCAACATTCGAATAGGCTCGTGCATTTTTCAGGCCGAAAAATTGCGCGTGTAATTTATGGTGGCTGAGGATTTCCACTGCAATATATGACCTGACAAGTGCGCCAATTTTCAGCAAACCACACGTAAATCCATTCCGGAGAGTCAGAGGTGACCGATTCTTTTTCAACCTTTCTCGGGGGTAAAAATACCATAAAAGCCACAGAGAAACTTCTACGATTTCCTCAACATGAGCAATATTTTAAAGCGAAACATTTCAAGATCTTGACCGAAATTTTATTTTTATATTTGCAGCTCACCTAAAGCAGAATTCCTGTAAATTATTTTAGTTCCCGTATTTTCTCGTATAAGCATTTTTTTGAATGTCGATCGTCCATCTGTGACCAGAATTCCATCGCACTGTTTCGCACATGGAATCCATAATTTCCATTGGTGATCTTATTCACGATAAATGTGGAATGTTAGCTATTCAAGTTTCAACAAGTTTTTCAGAAAATTCTCCCATGATTCTGGCAGGCTTCTGAAAATTTTCCATGCAGCTTCTCCAAAGAAAAATTCCTTTAATCGCGATATTGTTTAATATTTATTCCACTTTTACGTGACATTTTTGGCATTTTTTCGCATGCGGGATCCGAAACCTTCCATCAATGATCGCACCCAGAAGGAGAAAATGCGCCAATTTTTGCTAAATATTTAATGCTCGAGAAGTGCGATTGGAATTCAGGATCAGAGAGGATTTGAGGGAAATGTCTGGGGTGCAAATAGGAACGGAAACGGAAATTGTCCGTGACGCAATAGCATCTTGGTGCTTAGTGGAATCTGACCGAAGCAGCCGTCGCGAATCAAAACAAGATCACTTCCGCTCACACTACAGTCAAAGGCTGCTTTCCACGGGTATCAAAGATTCTTCAGCTTCTCTTTTTTTTTTCTTCAGGGTAATCTTCCAGAGGGAAAAGTGCGCATTGTGTGGTTTTCCTTCCCAGCCTTTAAATCGTGTTTCGAATACTGCTTCTCGCGAATACCCTGAAAGCCCAACTCCGGTTATCCCGGCTTGATTGGTGCGAAATGCGGAAGATTTCAAGTCATACGAGTTCTGCGGGAAAACCCGCAATGCAACTCACTGGGTTCTTGTAAAATTTTCTCAGTCATGCAGATTTTGAAAGCGATGCTCTCACAGCGTTTACCCTGGATTATCATTATTATTATTTTATTCTACTGCGCAATAGTGACCGCGGAATTTGACGATACAGTACATGGAAAAAGCGGCTGAATTTTCTTACAAAGCAATCATTTCACCGTTGAAACATAAAATCTCGATATGCTCTCAACTGTTTACCTTTCCTGGAAAACTCAGGGTGGAAATAGAGAGACACATTTTTTTCATTTTATTCGTGGACTGGCTCGTGGTTTGAAATAATCCAGATGGGCCTCGATGATGAGGGAAATTCGTGAAAGTCAGTTTGAGAATTTTTGCGGAATCCCAAAATTATAGGGAAATTTTGTGGGAAGACGCGGTTCCTCAGCCTTAACGATTAGACTCTATTATCCAGCTTGGAAATCATTTTTAGGAATTTTGGCTTGAAATCAGTATATTTTAGCAAACATGACACTATTCACGCCTGGTGTCAGAGAAATTGGTTTCTAACTTTCTATTTCAATCAAGTAATCATAAAATTTACCCTCGGGCATCGCCAAGATAAAGCTCAGGTGAAAGCCGCCATAATTCAAATTTCCAGTTAAACCCACGCCAAATCCCACTAGTTAAAATTACAGTACTTGAATCACACAAGCTGAAAACTTTTCGGGTCAAAATTCTCCCCTTCAGTCAAAATTCTCAAGCGTGTTTCATTTTATGGCTAAATTTTAGAATATATGTTCCATGAAACAAAACAAACGACAGCTGCAAATTATTATTTTTTGCTCCCCACAAGAGATCTGTCTGCAGGATCGGCATCTATGAATACTGTAATGCACAGTTCTAACAATGTTGCCTCGAAATACTTTTCCATTGATTAACCTACCCTTAACTCAATTGACAAATTAAAATTTTCTGAGTCCCTTTCCAAATTAAACTTGAAGATGTTCAACTGTATGAGGAACCTCTGGACTATCAATGGGTTTGTACCATTCTTGAAAGGGAAATGATATTTTGCCTCATCGCTGCTGAATACCCCAGAAACTCTTGCGAACCATGATTTTTGCACACACACACACACACACAAAAAGCTTGCAAAAATCCCCCGTTACGCTGAGGACATAGACTGTATATAGTGACAAGACGAGTTGATTTTTTGAAAAGTGCCCTCACTCTATATACAGAGAAAATTGCAGACGTTTTGCGAAAACTAATAAATAAAACCGCGACGAGAGGCGGAAGCATGAACATTACACATCCTGGGTTATGCTGAATGGAAGCGATTCGTCGGCGAGGGGGGTCTTGTGGTCGTATGATGAGGTCGAAAAAGGGGGTTGAAGAGCCAAGATTGTCCGGCGACGATTCAGGGGTCTGATTGCCGCGGCGGCGGGTGCGGAATGAAGTTGTCACTGCGAAGCCCTGATACGCAACCCGGGTTTGATTGACCGTCGGGATTTGGCGAGTTTGTCGCGTGGCTTCCTTGTGGGAGTGTGTGTCTGGCCCGGGGCCGATGGGATATTACGTGCGAGCGTATATTTGCCAACTCCTTCGCCGGGCCCGAAATCCCCGCTGCTGACACACCCCATTCGCATCGAACCCCCGCCACAATGAGGCCTTTTGACGCCGCGGAGATTGAGCGGCGCGGTGTGAAATATTGAAGGCGCCGCAAACGCATAATCCCTGATTTCCCCGCGCGGTTCCTTCCTCCCCAATTTTCCGGGCCCGGGTTCTCCTTTTTCCGGGTTTTCTTTGGGCTGATGCGCGTATGAAAAATGGGCGCGGATGCCATGGAGAATGGCATCTGCATTGTGTCACGCGGCCTGATTAATTCCCGGCGACGCGTCCTCTCTCTCGCTCAGAAACACTTTTTCTCTCCCGCATTTTTTTTTTTTTTTTGTGTCATCACGAGTCATCCTGGTCAAAATGTCATTTCGAAGCCAAACATCTCCTATTCAGAATCCGCCCTGTTGTATACTCGTATATGATGCATTCAGCGCTATGAACCAGCCCTTAAGCTCTTGCAAAAGCCAGCTGCTTCGTCGTCAACATTGATCATAACGGTTCTTGATTACGCTGTTTATTTTTTTAAATCTTTATTCATCTTTTGTTCAACAATTTTTTAGCATCGGCGAACCGTAAGTGAAAACTACCCACTCGAATTTAACTGATAAATTCTAATTTCTGAACTCGACAAGGTTTTCTTTAGAGCTTAGACCATACAGGCGAGAATTCGTACATCACTGCGATGTTCTTTGCGGAAGAGTCATAATTTTTGATTTCTTGAAAAGTCATCAAAAATATAAAGAGCGGATTTTTAACGTTGCCATGGCTGCGTTAGGGCTTTTTAAAATCCGTTTTCTCTTCTTCAAATTCTGTCGTGACCTCAAGTTCTCGATACATTCTGCACACAGTTGAAAAAAAAGCACGCGAGAGATTACTGCGTTGATATTGTTTTCGATTTTCAAATGATTTTGAAAGCGGCATTTTGACCAGAACTGCGGACCCGAAACTCACCAAAAACGCATTTTTATCGGAAAGAACCGAGCATCTTAGGAAAGCTTGTGATCTTTCTTCTATAAAAAAAAACACACACACGTCAACAAAAAATGTCTTTCTTCTAAACCATCTTTTTAAAACTTCTATTCAAAGAAAATATCGTCACTGCAGCTATAGGAAATATCAATTCAAAGATTAGCATCCAATCCAGAAACTCTCCGGAAATTTCAAAAGAATGCTAAAAAATTGTTTTCGGTCAAAAATTATGCCACCATAATCTCATGAGTAAATTATTATCTTAGAAGCAGAATTTTCATAAAAGCCTTTGAAGCAGCTTCCAAAGTCCATACACATTAAAAATATGTAGAAACTGCAGTTAACCGCGCGTTTTTGTAAGCGAACTTTTGATTCGCCAATCTGCGTCAGCAAGAGAAAATACCAATACGAAGAAAATGCCAGTGAAAAAATACCAAAAGGAAGTCAATTTCACACACGGATTTCGACCAAGCAGAAAATTACCCGGCACAAAATACCGTAGGAAACTTTAATCATACCATAAAAAATCGTAGAATATTAAAAACGTTCGAATTTACACATAAAAATAAATCACAAATAAATGGATGAAAAATACTCTTGAATGAATTTCAACTCAAGACCTTGAAGGTGCATGAAAAAGTATCCCTGTACCTGAAGTAGGATCCATTTTATGCGTCAACAGCCCGCTTCGATTCATCTCATCCCCCCGAAGGCAAAATGAAAATTAAGAACCCAAAAGAAACTATCAAATTTCTCTCTCGCCGTCATTTTCTCATGAAAACCCCTCCTCCTCGTCCTCCTTCCGAAACACAAGCAAAGGGAAAAAAGTTCGTCCGTCAATTTCTCCTGCTGTTCGCTCCCGAAAGTGGCCAATCGGGATGCGGAAAAAGGAAGGAACCTTGGCCGGGCAGCAGTTCGAGAGGGGAGTAAGAAGAGAAGAAAAAGAAAAAAAAAGGTCATGGAACCAGGGTTCGACCATGTGTGATACAAGGGGAATCAATTTCATGCTAGAACAACGGCATTCACACGTGATCGGGAAATAACACAGCGAGGAGGGACGTGAGAAGAGAAACGAGTAAATGGGGCTCCACCCCGACGCCAGCGTGAAAAATCACCGTTTAAGTCACGCAGCGGCGCTTTTTCGCTTCGGCCCGGGGCCAGATGGCGGCTTTCGCCGGCATGGCGGCGATTCGTTTCTAATGACAGACTCATTTCCCGGCTACACGTGATGGCCGCCGTGTTACGCTCGAACGCCGCCATCCAAAAAAAGCCCGACACGAGAAAATGCCACGGTGAAAATTACAAATGGAAGGCAATGTCACACGATCAACTTTATTCATGCCACGAAGAATCGTGGAACATTGAAAACGGGCGAAATGACACCAAAACATGAATCATGCAGAAATGGATAGCAAATATTCTTGAATGCATTTCAACTCAAGACCTTAGGGTGAAAAATTATTCCTATACACCTGAAGTTAGATTCGTTTTATACGTCAACAGTCTGCTTTGATTGATCCCATCCCCCGCGGGCAGCATGTAATTTAAGAACTAAAGGAACTGAAATGCTTTCATGATGGCCGCTGTGCGATTAAAAATTTTAGTAACAATATGATTATTTTAAAAAAGGATGATTGTGTAACCATTTCGGTGACGCAAAACGCTTGAAACTTGTTGAACTTTCCGCGGGTAATCCTGAAAAGCGTTTGATATTTTATCTGTTTAATGGACCCATCGCTCTTTTTTTTGCATTTTTCAAGTCGCATTTATGACTTGAAGGTGACATGGAATTTTCTGATTTCTTTTTTTGTAATCAACATATCCCGTAATTTTTCCTCTCGTATTCCCGGCGTTTTTTTTCACGCCGGCATTTTCTTCTCAGCACCGAAATCTTCTAAACGCTCTCTTCAAAACGAAAGTAGTAAAACTCACCATCAATATCAAGGATCCCTCGCAACTCCCCGGTCAACAGTTCCAAACGTCGCTCCAAATTATCTTCTTTCTCCCTGAAAGCAAAGAAATAAAAGCGCACATCTCAATGAAAATGAAATTGAATTTGCCCCTTTTTTTTCCATCCGTAGATGGATGCCTCAAATACTTCCTTCTTAAAACTGTCCATGCATGCCCTTATTTCATTTTCTTTCAAGTGACGCCGCTGCAAAGATGGCAGCCCGATTAAAATAATTCAGAGCCCCAAAAGCATTCTTCTTGGGTAAACTAATTAAACTTATTGTCACTAACCTAAATCAATGACTGACGGGTGCTAAATAATTTGAAATTTTCAAACTCTCGAACATTTTCCAAATTCATGGAACGCTTTTCGATACACAAGCATTTTCTTATTCCAAGTAAAACGAATTCCGCCGTGATCATCGAATTTTCATGTTCACTGCGTCTCTGAATCTGCCATTTGTGAAATTTCATGCATTTCCAATCCCTGTAGTCGCTCTATAATATTTTCTGGGATATTTGAGAAAGCATCAACTTCACGCGGTACTTCAGCAATCCTCAGTGATGACTGAAAGGGAGAAAATTTTCGCCCGAGCCGTCGTTGAATATTCCCACATATAATATAGCGCGAATTCCATGCAAAAAAAAAGATGTTCCGTGTTTGAGCTTCGCGGAAGGAAAGGTGCAAATGGAGTGGCATTGACTAACAGCAGAGCAGATTCTGAAGAGCAAGGCAAACACCCGGAATCGGCAGAAACAGTCTCTTTGCGGATGATGAAAAGCTCTCGAAGCCATTACAGCGCGTGACGTAATTCCGGCATGAAAATTAGGGAAACGGCTCGGGTCAGTATAAATAACACAACGAGGCTCTTGAAGAGAGGCCAAGCGGAAAATGGGGGGGCGGCAAATACGGGCGCGGCGGCGCATGGGGGTGAAAATCATTTGGGCATACAAGGCGGTAAACAAGAGCGGAAATGATAAAAGGCTGCAAAAACTGGCTCCGAGAAGAAAAGAACGGAGCTGGATTTCCGAGATACGGAATCTCCATCGCGAGTCCGCGACTGCATCATCCGATTTTCCGCCCTCTTTTTTTCTCTCTTCGCAGCAGTCAACTTCCGGGTCGAGGGCTAATGGAAAAGTTTCGACTCCGATGCGAGGTCATTTAAAAAGCGGGGTTTCCCACCTTTTCTGGCCCGCGGACTGGCAAATTTCCCATGAAATGCTTTGCAGACTGGCCAAGTTTCATAAAACTGTTTCACAATCAAACAATTTAGCTTGAAAGACTTTATAACAAGTACCGTATTTACTCGAGTACCACGCGCACCTCTTTTTTCAAATTTCAGAAGGAAAAAAGGGGTGCATGTCATAAGCAGGTACAAATTTTTCAAGAAGTTTTAGAAAGTTCTATGTGCATTATACTTAATTGTAATGGAGAAATTTGGAAGAAAAGTGACAAGAAAACTTTTTTTGTACTGAAAAAGTTGAAAAGTTTTCAGATTTTTGTTAAATTCATGTCTAAAGTCAAATTTTTTGTTTCTATTTTCTAAATTTTGTGGTTTTAGATTTACTAAAATTGGGGTGCAAGTCATACTTGCTGGGGATAAGATTTTAGCCAAATTTCCTACTGAAAAAACCCTGTGCATGCCTTACTCAAGGGCTACAGTATTTAAACATTTTCTGCTTTTTTTCAAAGATTACTTTAAGAACCAATGGAGCTGTTACAACAGATGTTTTCAAACATTTTTGAAGGTGGGATTGAAGAAAGGTTTCTCAGAAGGAAAAATTAATATAATTTGTTCCAGCAGGGCAAAATTTGTCTGAAGTGTTAGTAGGAGAAAAGCCAATAATTTTTTTTTCATCACACAATTTCAACTGCCATTGTCTTTCCAAAATTGCAGATAAAGATAACAGTCCTTGTTACTAGGTTTGATAAATTTATTATGTTGAAGAACATTTTTTGCGGACTGATCAAAAAAAATTCTGTGTATTGGCTTGACAAGCGGTCAAAAGTTGTGAAAATTTTCAAGAACACTATAACCAAATTTTTTTTAGTGCCCATCAGTCAATTCAATCCACAACCCAATAAGTATCAATCCAATTTAGGTTAGTGGGAACATGCTTGATTAGGTTACCCGTGAATTTGTATTTTCGAATGACCCCACGATGGAGTGAGCGATGTAATATTTGTCCCATATTCGCGGTGATTGCGGCGACGAGGGAAAACAATTACTGGGGGGAGCCAAGAGGCGGCCCTGGTTCAAGGGTTGCCCGGGCAGTGAAGTGGCCACGGGCCGGAGGGGGACCCGAGCCAGCGGGAGCATAAGCAAATATTTCCAGCGGACTGAGTGAGGATTCTTGTTGCTTTTCCGACCCAATTTGCAGGGATTCGTATGTGCCTAAGTGGGGGTATTCATCACCGAGGGTCTCTCTTATACCCCCACACCGCTTTTCATAACTCGCCTTGTTCCGCTCCATTCTTCCGGATGCAAATGAGGCAAGACGGCGTCTAATTTCATCCCATCTCCGTTCAGAGTGTGATGGAAGTTTAAACAAAGTTTTTCTGTGGCCTCTCTCTCTCTCTTTCTTTCGTGCGATGCCCAAAAATTTTTACGATGATTTTTGCTTCGTTATTCGAAACCCAAAGAACACTAATGTTCTCACGCAGTGCTCCGCGGAGCCCCGGAAGATCAACATGCGCTTCCGGGGGCTCCGCGGCTGCTCTCAGCGAAAGAAAGCACTAAATTACATACCCTTATAATCATGAGTGATTTAAGGACTCGAAATAATAAGTAATGACTGATGTGTCAATGCCTGTAAGAAAAGGCCGTAGGTTTTTTCGAGACGGAAACACAAGGGTAGACTTGAAAGGGTGTAATGAAATGAACTTTAAGTCGGGTAAAAAAGGTCAAGGAACTCCGACACAGTCAAAACAAATCCAATTTGATCTCGTTTTTTTTTCAAAATACACGTTTTCTCATCGTCCATCGGATTTCGTTTATTATTTAATGTAGAAACTGAAATGTAGAGGAAAATAGGTTCGCTGAAATGTCGTTGCAGGCGCGCGTTGGAGCTCGGTATTTCCGGAGAGAATATATTATCCGTTTCTGGTAACAGGATGCGACTGGCTGGAAAGTGGACCGGAAGTGAAAACTCTCAGGGCACACTCTGAAAGCCCTGGTCGCTAAAAAGCTATTCTCCGCCCTCTGGCAAAGAAAACACGCGAATGACACTCCATCCAAATATTCTACCTTCATTTCATATTTTCCAGTTTTTTTCCAATGTCCGTCAATATTCCTAAAAAATTCACATTAAAATTAGGTACATGTTTTTTTCAGAGCCCCCCCCCCCCCCATCATTTGTGCAAAGTAACAGATGACTTGTTATTTTTGTTTTTTGGTCTGCTGCACTGTCATTTTTTGCACCTTGAAGTTGAAAAAAATTGTATTCAATTTTCGGGGACAGCAGAACCAATTAGATATGCTCTCATTCAAATCTTTGTGAAAACATGATCGGACTTACAGACATTCTGACAGGGACAAGGTATAATCACCGATTACAGTACTCTCTTTTTTCTCCTGAGCTTGTTTCAGAGAAACATACGCAGTCATAAACAAACTATTTATTTGAGACTCTAAATAAAATTTGCCAAACCCCAGTCATCAAATTGGAGTAAAAAAAGAGAAAAAGTTGAATGTTTTGAAAGTTGAAAAAGTTACATACCAGTACAGTATTTACTCGAGCACCACACGACCTCGAGTAAGATGGGCACCAGGGTTTTTCAGTCTAAAATTTTAAGAAAATTGAATACCCAAGCAAGACGCGCAACCCATTTTTAGCGACTCTAAAGCTGCGATATTTCTAAATTAAAAACACCCAATTTCGAATTTAGGCATGAGTTGAATCTGAATTCAACTTAATTTTACATTGTTTCCTCAAAATTAGTGTTCGCTCCTTATTGATCTAAATTTCACATTAAAATGGAGTTTAATGCACGCACCTGAACTTGAAAAACTATTTTCAAAAATTCATACATCAGCTGCATATGACGCAAACCTAATTTTTCTTCTAATTTTTTAGAAAAAAAAAATGTGCGCGTGGTCCTCGACGAGTCGATCAAAGCGGGTATTTTTGCGCTTCTGCGCTTTTTCGGGAGGAACATTTCCCAAGAATTTGCCATGATTTGCTCGAAAGTCCGCACGGCATTCGCCAGACCGAAGTCGTCAAGAGAATGCAGTATAGACGAGAGATGTCTTGCATTCCGGGCCATTCGTCGCCGGGAATATTCCAGAGCGGAAAGCCGATGATGGGGAATATCGAGCGCGAAGGACGATCACCCGGGGTAAGAATTATTTATACCCCGGGTGATGCGTTTCCCGTGTCGTTACACCCCCTTAGCGCGGGGAGGCCCGGATTTCCGGACGTGAGCAAAGATTGGTTGCATAACGGGAGGAAAACATCAGGATGTCCTGGACCAGGCCCCGTTGTATTTCCCAGCGCCGAATAATCCGATTACCCAGAATCTAAGGCACAAACACAGAAAACACACACACACATACACAAACCAGGTTCCACTCTTGCGCACTCAGCAGCACAGACTTCATGAATAAGCGTTTCCTGTTTCCGGAGGATCCTACTTCCGATTCTGAGAGAGGCACCAAGAGCAGTGAGTGTCGTCTTCCGGGCACTCAAGACTTTTCGACAGATTCTGTCTTTTTTGTACGTTTTATTTTATGTCTTTGGACCTGACAATATACTGGTCACCTGAAGTTGACCTGATGAATGAGGCTTCGAGAGTTCGGGTAAAAGAACAGCTGTTCATTCAACATGGACCGATGATTGGAAAGCACCTGGCAGATGGTATGCATAATATCTCTTGAAACATGGATGATTTTTTATTTTGGTTCATTAGGAGCTCAAAAATAACATTGAAACAAAATGCACCATATTTGTTGGGGAACCAGAACTCGGGCCCAGGGTCATCAGGTCCCAGGACCTGAATTTCTGGTCCATTTCCTTCCTATATCCACTCCTTGAATGTGTGACTTCTTTGATTCACATTTCTCCAGCCAATCACAGGCAAGGGAAAAAGTCCAGTGCTTTGGTCAGGTCAGCTGACAGAAGCATTGGGCTAAATCCTATAAAAACCCAGCACTCTTCCACTCCCAATAATCAGTCATTAAAATTAACTCTTACAGTAAACTTCCCTCAAAACATTCCAACCCCAATTCTTCTGATTGAATTGTTGCACTGCATTATTGCACCCTAAATTTGTGTGCACAAATTTATTGTTTTTATTGAATGTGTGTTGCATCATTGCATTTATTGTGATGTATCATTTTTTGTATTGTGTTTTATTGTGATTTATTGTGGACTGTGATTAAACCAGACAAAACTAGGGATATGTAATTAAGGTACCCCCTTAATTACACATTCCTGGCCGCAAACAGGCTGATTGCCAGCTGCCTTATTATTTCCCACCTTTTTCTTCCACTGTGCTATGGTTCAATTCTTTATGTTGGGTTGATTAATTCCTCACCAATATTCAAGAATATCTAAATATTATAGTTTTGAGATCGAAAAATCAGTGAACATGGAGTCTTGGAAAACTAGACCTCAAGCCTAATTTGTAGATATGAAATGCAATAGTTGTTTTCTGGCTATCCAGAGGTAAAAAAAAAATAATGATGCGATTTCTTCAAAATGGTAAGATTCAGGAGGAGGTAAAAAAAAACGCCACAGTTGTAAAACGGTACCACACAGAGTCCTCGAATTAAAAACCAAATTTATTCAATAAAGATGAATGTTGTTTTGCTCAATTTTCATTGCGCAAAACATGATTTCCATTGAGGTACAACTTCAGACTATTTAATAAATTCCAGACACTCATAAAGCACCCACCTTGGAAACTATATTTTACCACGTTTTTATGAACTCACTTTCTTGTCTGTCTGTCTGTCTGTTTGTCAGGNTAGTAGATTAAAAAATTAATCTAAAAAACCACGTTTTCAAAAAGCAAAAAATAACCTTAAACGTGGTGAGCATGGAGATTGTTGGGAAGAAGTGAAATACAAATGAAATAGATGTGCACCAGGTTTAAGGTTATTTTTTGCTTTTTGAAAACGTGGTTTTTTAGATTATTTTTTTAATGTACTAAATTTTTTTTTAAAGTTATCAGCATGACATTTTGAAGCCTAAATTGATTAGTGTGAACATGAAGTAATCCTTAAAAGTTTTTTATCCTAACTTTCTGACGCTCACAATTTTTGAAGACGAATTAGGCTAAAACTAATGTACTCCCTTATGATACTCAGTTCTCCCAATCTCTGAAAAGCTCAAAACTTTCTTTTAAAAAAGCATCCTTGGCCCAACACGTTTTGTCACGAACAATTTTGCTATTTGAGCCCCTCCCTTTTCCCTTCAAAACATTTCGTCTCCCGAAATCTTTCTTGTATGGGTCTTTCGAATAAAAAGTGGGGACCCCTGAATTTCGCGTCTGCTGGATCGAATTCTGAATGAGCAGAATCAATTTTGGGGATTAAAATCCTGGAAGAAGCATTCGGCTTCAAGAGTTTTCAGGCACATGGTACTGCGTACATCCGGCTCCTGAGTTTTCATTCATTCCTTCATTTATTTATTTTTATTTTATTTTATTGAGTTTTTGCTTTGGCATGCAGCAAATCGCACGGAACGGTTGATGGGAACCTCCGTCATGTTCGAGACGCTCTCCGCTCGGGGCGAAATTTATTGTGCCAGCAGAAAATATAAAAAAGGAAAAAAAAAAGTCAAATGAAAATCGCTGCGGACCTAAATACTCGCCCGCCACTGTTGGTCACGTACGAACGCAATGCCGGGTGCGATCAACGGGAAAAACGCTGCAGTTGTGTCGGCTAGGAACCAATAAGAAGTCAGATAAGAAAAGGGAAAAAATAAAGAAATTTCAGCCATTATTCAACCATGACTTCTCACTGCGCCGGCACCAACAGTCACGAAATTATTCCTTGCAGCTACCTGATACGACGGGGGCAATCTGGAAGTTCCGGTAAGTCATGGATTGTATTTGGATTCCGTGGAATATGAGGCCCCCATAGGGCGCTTCTCGTGATCATTGAAAAATGTCGGAACTCTTTCCTGTGATTTATTTGTTGGGTCCTGCGTAACCCAAAAATAAGATAATCAGTTCATCGTTTTTTTCTTCGATTTCAAAAGGGAAGTCCAAAAATGTTCGCGTTTTCTTCCTCTCCAAGGGCGCGTGGAAGATTTGAAAATTCATTTTTGCAGGAAAACAAATTTGTACTCTCTTCCTTCCCCGTCAAGCGAAAAATTCCCAAAAACATAAATTGAGAGACAATCACGGAATATCACTCTGAAATGGGAAGTTTTGCAAGGGACTGGCTGCTGGCAAATAATTCCGAGGAAACGTGGCACTAAAACAGTACCATAAACTTTGGTAAGAAAGTGTTGTTTGCGGAAGCATT